CACTAGGGGGGGGGCGGCGGTAAACTTTACAATAACAAAAAACATGGCTTTACCCAATATCAACTTCATCTTGGCTAAAGCTCTCACAATTGAGGAGCAAGACACAAGTAAATAAGGCAAATGAGTGAGTTGGCAATACTACATATTAGTAGGTGTCTGATCTTATGCAGACACTCAGATAATATATTCGTTCACTGGATAAGTGTGTGTATTTTCGACAACCATGTCTCTCTCCCTCCCTTCTTCCCACTATCCCCCTTCATCTTTCCCTCAATCCAATGGCAAAATGAAAGCATCCATTAGAGATCCAATGCAATATCCACAATCACTACAAATCACTTTAGCCACTGTAAGTACTCCTGAATATTTGATCTAGTGCAACAATTGTTGGAGCCTGCCACATATGTGGAGGGTATGCAAGGGCACCCAACTCTGTGAGTAAATAAAATTTAAGGGACCACATAAAGAGTTTTTACAGGACAATAATAGAATGCACAGCAAGTAGTTGATGGATTCATTGACAAATGAAATGGTTTAAAATATCATCAATAGGAATCCTTGAAAAGGTGATTAGATATTTATCTTCATACTAAAATAGATGCAACACAATAAGCACATTTACTAGCATGCAAGCCACATATATTTGAAGCAAACTATAAGTAATGTCAAAATTGATTATCAAGAATTCTTAAGAAGATTGGTGTTATATGGTCGTTGGTTCAAAATCCAACAGAAGTTCAAAATCTCAAGTGTTCAGGCAGATTGGACAAGCAATTGCATCAAAAAACCATAAAAAGCAAATTCAGAACCAATCAATAGGAAAACAACTGAATTAAAACTTGTTATTTAACAAAAATTACAGCCTAAACTCTTAATATTGAAAGGCGTAGTTATGAATTGAGATCGATGAGAACAAGAAGATAACGAGAAAAGTAAGCTTGGAAGAAAAGCAACTGGAAATACACAAAGCTAAAGCAATTGTGCAATTTAAATAGAGTTATTTTACCAAATTTAATCTTTGTTAACGAAAAGCATGGCTTTCCCCAATAACAACTTCATCTTGGCTATAGCTCTCAAAATTGAAGAGCAGGAGACAAGCAAATAGGGAAAATGAGTGAGTTGACAATACTGCACATTTGCAAGTGCCAGATCTTAAGCAGACACTCAGATAATACATTTGCTCACTAGATAAGTGAGTGCATTTCCGACAACCATGTCTCTCTCCCACCCTTCTTCCAACTACCCACACTTTCATCTTTCCCTCGGTCCAATGGCAAAATTAAAGCATACATTAGAGATCCAATGCGAAAGAAGGAAACCATGCTAGCCCTCATCACTACACAACACTTTAGCCATTGTAAGTGCTCCTCAATATTTGATCTACTACTACAATTGTTGATGTCTGCCACATTTGTGGAGGGGTATGCAAGGACACCCAACTTTGTGGTAAATGAAATTTAAGAGACCACATAAAGAGTTTGTACAAGAACGATCATGGAATGCACAGCAAGTAGTTGATAGATTTATTGACAAATGAAATGGTTTAAAATATCATCAATAAGAAGCTAAAATTGAAGGGACCAAGAAGTAATAATTTACTCATTCATTGTAAATGGCAACCTACTTTTAATTGATCTTCTCTTCTTGAAAAGTTGATTAGATATTTATCTTCACACTAAAATAGATGCAATGCAATAAGTACATTTACTAGCCTGCAAGCCAGCATGTATTTGAAGCTAACTATAAGTGCTGTCAAAATTGATTATCGAGGCTTCTGAAGAAGATTGGTGTTATATGGTCATTAGTTCAAAATCCAAACGATGATGTTCAAAGTCTCAAGTGTTCAGGCAGATTGCACAAGCAATTGCATCAAACAACCATAAAAAGTAAATTCAAAGCAATTTAATAGGAAAACAATTAAATTAAAACTTGTTATGTAGCAAAAATTACGGCCTACTTTTAATATTGAACGACATAGTTATGAATTGAGAGATCCATGAGAAAATCAAGATGAAGAGAAAAGCTAATTTGGAAGAAAAGCAGCTGGAAGTACACAAAGCTAAAGCAATCGTGCCATTTAAAATTCAGTACTGTTTGTAAATCTATAAGTCTACCAAATTACAGTTGCATCTAGCATTGAAAAGAGTGACCAGCAAGGAACTGTTGCATTAAAAGTTACTATGTCTAACATGGTGTAGGAAATAATGCAGCCTCCATGATGGGAATAGAAAAAAAGGAAATGATTGCAATGATTCAAACCATTCAATGCTAGGCTAAACCTCACAGTTTTACCCTTCTTGGTGCAACTTCTGAATGATCATCCATCACGAGAACACTTAAAGTTGAGCTTCATTGAAGTCTCCAATGAATGACCACCATTTACAGCAACAGCCGCACCATATTTTTACAGCTAACTCTTCTTTTCTTCCTTTCTGATGTGATATTTACTTAATATTTTACCTGAATTTTGTCCTAGAATTCTACCATCCTAAAAGTTTACAATGAACCACTAATCCAACCCAAACTAATCCAACATGAAGTTCACACCAAATCCATAGAGCAGGAATTAGTGCAACACAAATTAGTGGATCTGAGGACCTCCAGCTTGGCTCAAAAATTTCAAAGTGGCAAAAGGCTACAACAACAAAAACAACAACAAAGCCTTAATCCCACTACGTGTGAGCGGCTACATGAATCCTTTTTCTCCACTGCATCCTATTTAGTGTCATATTTTCATTTAGTTCTAATAAATTAAGATCATTTTTTATACAATAAGCCTAAGTATTCCTAGGTCTACCTCTGCCTTTCTTAACATAAGTCGAATCTAAAGCATCACCTCTCCTGATCAAATCATCAGATGGTTGACGCTTAATGTGACCAAACCATCTAAGGCAAAAGGCTACATTGGGTAAAAATTCATTGGACCAAGAAATCAGTGCAAATGTCTAGTAAATAGAATAACAAGGAATTGAAAAATTCGTTTTTAGGATATGCCAAGTGTTAATAAAGGTAGTAAGAAGGTAAAATAAGTATTTACAGTGTTTTGTAGAGCCCCTTGAAAGCAAGTAAATATTGAATTCATTATTACTTCATCTTCATCTTCTTCTCTTGGCAATCTCTTGGTATCCCTGGTTGAGCTATCATTCCAACTCATGGGTAAATTGATTGTTAGGGTAGGCAAAAGATCACTTAATGTCTGGTTTACTTAAAGTTACTCAGAGAGTGAAATGAGTATATGCGGTGTTTTGAAGGTCTTTTGAAGGCAAGCAAAAAACAGAATTAGCTATTCCTTCCTCATCTTCAGCTTCTTTCCTTATGATTTTCTAAGGAGTTGCAAGTGTTTCTGAATTCTCTCAGTATCCTTTTGCCTCAGCAAGTTATCATTCTGCCTCCTGAAGCTCCTAACAGCCACTCTATATACTGTTCTCCACTGGCAAACACTCTTAGCCATATTCAAATAGCTTTTTTTTTAGGTGGATTCAGGATGTCAGAATGAAAGTGCCAAAAAGAAGGAGCAACCAAGCCAGCAAAGCATTATCAGTGGTGGGCAATATATGGCTCAGCAATGCAGGATTTATTTCCACTCAAAGAGAAAAATAGCTACGATGATTTTAAGGAAGAAAACCAGTACGTAAAATAAATGAGAATGTTCAAGATCTTACACACACACACACAAATTAAAAAAAAAAAGGAAAAAGATGAGAATTGTAAATAAGGAGAAAGTTCAACAGTGCATATCGAGATTTCTCAAGGAGCAGCAAGTAATGATCAATAGCTACACTAGTTAAGTAGGAAGACATATAAGCTTACAAAAGCGACATGGATAAGGGGTTTCAAAAGAATAGTAGATAGGAGAAAAAATTGCTATATCTGCAGTTCGTAATGCAGAAAAATAATCTCGTAGTCGCACGGAAAAATGCGGAAATTGACAAATCTTCGAAGCATAAAAGGAGTCACTTGCATGTTCCTCCAACCATATTCCCTCTGAGAACCTCCATGCGTGAATATCTGAGAAGCTCTCCTCCAAAAATCGGAGCTTTATCGAAACTTCTGCAAAATCCTCCAAGCCTTCTGCTTGCAGTGTTAGAAAAACTAAACCAAACCAAAACAAGAACAAAGTGACCTACTAAGTTCATCGAGTCCACCCATAAGAACTCAAAAAAGAAAAAGAAAGAGCTGAGAGGATGATAACCTTGGAGAGATCCAGGAGGGCGTTCTCCCTGAGGTCAGGGTCGCAAAGATCGAGCACGAGCTGCTCCGCTGAGGCTATCTTCCGATCCTGCGCGGCAACTGTTGCCGCAGAAGAAGGTGGGGAAGGTCCGACGAACGGCGGAGCGTTGATGGAGAGAGTGGGCAGAAGATTGGACATCACGTCGCTGGCGTAAACAAGTTCAGAACGTCAAGCTATCTGAGTTCGTGCAGTTTTTCTTGGCATCGATTCTGGGTAAAAGAAGCAATTTTTAGATGACAATGAATTGGTTTGCTCCAATATATGATATTTTAGTCAATTTCTGAATGCTAAATAGTTTGAACTGAAAGAAAAAAAAATGAATTTTTGTGTGGATTTTAATACGATTGTTGTAAAATGAATACAAAAATTTGAACTTCTACAGTCGAGAGAAATGGGTGAGGACGTGGGAATCAACAAGGAAATTACTTTTAAGTTAGAATTTTTTCTGGACATAGGTCAATGTATCCAAGAATTTATGCTCAATTCCTACTAACGCTAAGAAAGAGAAAAAAAAAAAAAAGAGAATAAGGAGGAACCCCTAAAAATAGAGAGTTCTCCTCTCTTTTTTAAAATTTGAATCTTATTTATAATTCTTGGGATATCTTTTTATCACGTATAAATTTAAGAAAAAAATAAAAATATATAAAAGTACATTATATAATATCACATCTTGCGCATTTATTTCATTTCTTTGTAATTTTATATCATTTCATTTCATATAGTTGTATTGAATGAACTAGAGAGGTGAACTCAACAGGTGAACTCGGCAGGTCAACTTAGTAGGTCAACTCAATAAATTAACTCGGCGAGCGAACGCTATTTTATTTGCATGTTATCATTTTTTTTTTATTTTCTATTTCACCTCATTTAACGTGAATTTATGCTTGTGGAATGTTACTTATGTTATTTTGAAAGTTATGTGTCAAACACGTAAAACAGAGTCATGACGCACAGAGTAGTGTTATTTTGCGTGGTCACGCCAAGTCACGCCTGATTTTGGCTTGACCATGCAAGATCTGGCCATGACCATGCCAGTTTCGACCATGACCACACTAGTTTAAGGCGCGGTTGCACCGCCGAACAGCCAAATCCCATCTTAGAAGGTATTTTCATGTTGATTTTTGTTGTACCTTTAAAAGGGAAAGTTAGGCCACCAATACAAGGACTCATCTAACTTTTGTCTTCTTTGTTTGATTGTTATCTTTATTTGACTAAATGGACTATTTCCTTATAACATAATAATAAAGGAACACCAATGGTTTCATTAAATTTGGTTGGGGCACGTTGACTATACCTACAAAGATTAGTTAACATAATTTTTTAACCTTACATAAGAGCCTGACATTGTGGTCTTCAATCTCTGTGTTAACTAACTTCTTTCTTTATTTAACTAAGTTATATTTCAGAAAGAGTCAAAGTCCTCTAGCATTTAGTTATTAGGCTGAGTAAGGTCTAAAAGTTTAGACATTTTTTTTTCTTTTTCTCTTAAATAATTTGCTTACCAGGGATAAGTTCCCAAATTAACCAAAAATATTTTTGAAATAGAAAACACCGATGAAAAATTATGAAAATAAATTAGAGATGAAGGAGTTTGAGGATGAAATAATAATTATATAAAAAAAAGAATTTAAGAATAGAATACTTTATCTCATTTGGTGATAATTTCTCTAATATGATCTTTGTTACCCCTATAGAGATATCTTTGCATAATTTCAAATTTGAGGAGCATGCATCCACGTTCATTGTTCCTTTCAAAGTGTTGGATCCTCTAAGGACATAAGGTCTTGTATTATATGTAGGCCCGTCAACTTGAGAAAAACCTATGAAGGTGCTGGTAGAAGAGAATGGTTGTAAGCTTCAAAAGCCTTAGCCTTCATCCTTAAAAAGGGATTCCTGAAAAGACCCCCCCCCCCCCCCACAAGAAGAAGAATCTTTATTTATATGAATCAAGATGCCTCTTCCCCCCTTCCATCGAGTTACAAGAGAAAATATTGCAGGATTTCAGTATAGTTTGATTTTTGTATGCGTAGCTTAGCGATGTTAAACTGTGATATTGTAAATGTCAGACATCCCATAATTAGATGTAGACATTCTTATTGGCAGAATGATAATCAATACTGAAAGTTGATACCCGACATATGAGTTTGATTGGTCAACTTGAACTATCAACTTTGTAGCCAAGACATTACAACTATCAATTCAGCAAGTTAGCCTGACATGTTGACTCAGCAGTTGGAATGTGATAGGTGTCACTTTGATAGGTCAACTCATCATGTCAACTTAGCAATTAGAGCATGACAGTTGCGCCTTAAAAAGAAATGTGTTGGCCAAGCTAAGAAGGTTTCTTAATATCTGTATAAGCCAATGGTTGTCTTTTATTAGTGTACATATAGTTTTTCTATTAACAAAATATTGCATAAAGAAAAAAAGAAAAGAAAACAAAGATCTTGATATATTTTGGTATTTTTATATCAGCATGATTAACTATGGGTAAGCAAGACATGAGACATAGTGCTTGTTGTTTCTTGAAAGTTTTCGGCCTTTAATTCTTGTTGTTTCCAAAAAGTTTTTGACCTTCTTGGAAGGGAAATAATATGATAATTTTATGGCAAACAGTAGTCAAGTAAGGTTTGACTTATCTTCGATGGCTGAAAATTTTGTATTTGTCATGCTTACAATACAAACAGAGTGCGTGAGATGCAACATTATTTTCATTGAGTTTAGATTATCCTGCTATTGAGGGACATAAATCACCTGCAAGGAGTTGTAACTTGAGCTTACTGTTGAGTTTAGATTGTCCTTCTCTTTGGGTTAGTAGCTCTCCTATAGAGAGTAGTCAATTGAATCTCTAAGTAACATGGATTATCCTTCACCTTAAAGCTTCACCTCATATACAATGAATAATCATTTCAACTTATTGATTTAGTGGGTTGAGGCCTCATAGGCCCTAAGTAGATAGACTTATCCTCTTAAATGGTCAAGTTCTATAAAGCAAGGATATTTGTTTTAGGTTTATAGCTATTGGATCCTCCGAAGAGAAGAAAATAGGTTTTAACCATATCGATGGCCATGCTTCAAACAAAATGAAATATAATAATGAGTGAATTTTTGTTTTTACAAAAAAATTGCATTTCATGATGAACAAATAACATACCAAAAGCAAAGTTTGAGACTTTCTTATACTTGTAGCATCATTAGGTTGTGCACTTATTATAACTCCTTTTTTTTAGGAAATATTTGTATCATAATTTGCAATAAGATCCACATATAAGTGTCTGATAATCATTAGAGATGGTGTTACAATGTTAAAGAAAGAGTAGTTTGAATTGTTAACATGCATAATAATATTGATAGTTATTTAGTTGTTTCATGAGTTAACTCCCTGTTAGCTATAAAAATATTATGTTAATGGAGTGAGGTACATCATCCTGTTCTTCATCTTTGAGAAAGTTATCTCATTAGTTTTTTTTTTTCTTTTTTGTTTGGACCACCTTTTTCTCTTTATTCCTCCCCGGTGGATGATATCCCAATCAAGAAATTGAGATTCCTGAAGGAAGAAATGAGCATGTATCTTTCAAAAGAGGAGGAGAGAAGATTACTCTAAGGGAGATCAATATTTGAAAATGAGGAGCAGAGCAACATAAGGCCAAAGGGTTGCAAAGGAAAGAGCCTCTTTGAAATGTCTTATGGAGGAGACTCCCATCGTGGATCCTGTCATGTGTGGCACAGAAGAAGCCATTTATGATGTTGCAATGGTGGTATCTCCGTCTGATCCTTCCCAATTAGGACTCATCACTATCAATCTGAATGATCCCGTTGCGGCTCATATGTCTAACGTGATGAGCAGGCTAAGGGTTTCCAACCTCGTGACATTTCACGAGCCCAATTTGAGTGGCATCATCATAAAGCTAGTTGAACTTAAAGTTTGAGGGTTGATAATCACATCTAAATTTTCTTGGTGATTTTATGTAGATGTGTCTGTGGATCAGTGGCCTGATCCTAAAGCAACTTTCGATGTTCCTTTTGTGGTCATTGGAGAAAGTCTTGAGGAACAACCTAGCTTTGATCTACTTTTTGAAGGTAATATAAATTCTTTCCGTGGATCTATTTTTTATTTTTCATTGAATATTATATATTGTTGTTCACAAGATTCATGGTGATGTGAATGCTTATTACTCGAGCAAGATCATGTCAGCTTTATAGCTACTATGATATCGGCAATTATAGTGCCTCATTAGTCATGATGTGGGGGGAGGGGGTGCGATCCAATAGTTTTCATTGTAGCTTTTGGGTATTTATACCAGTTAGTTGAGCCTTTAATTGAGAAGCTAGTGGGTGGGATGTCGATATATGACTGCGATGATGAGAAACATCTTAATTAGACTGAATATGGGTTCCTATGAGTTAAGGAGTGATTAGAGGGAAGAGCTAGTTGTGAACCGTTGCAAGAAGCTAATGAACTATATATTTAGAGGTAAGGTTAGAGGCAACCTTGGCGATCTCCCAGAAGACTTATATGTAAATTAAGGAAATGGAGGCAAGATTAATTATTCTCTAATGACACCATGAGTTGACTCATTTTAAATATTTTTTTTTGTTGGGTGATTGATCTTACAGTGGCCTCTTTAATCCTGCAAGATCAGGTTGGATGACGTGAAGGAGCATTGCCTTCACATTTTCCATTTATAATTATAGTTACATCAGTTAGTTAAGCCTTTAATTGAGAAGCTAGTGAGCAGGATGTTGTCACCAATCAGTGAGTTGTAAATGATGATTGAGATGATGGGAGACATCTTAGCCAGACTGTATACTGGCTCCTGTGAGTCAACGAGTTATCAGAGGGAGGAGCTAGTAGTGACCCAAGTAGACTTGCAAGAAGCCAATGAACACAGATATTTAGAGGCAAGATTGGATGCAACCCTGATGATCTCTTAAAAGACTTATATGTGAATTAAGAAAATGAATACAAGATTAATTATTCTCTAACAACACCTTGAGTTGACTCATTTTAAATAGTTCTTTTTTTGTTGGGTGATTGGTCTTATATATGCCTTTTCAATCTTGCAAGATCAGGCTAGATGATGTGAAGGAGCAATGCCTTCACATTTTCCATTTATAATTTTAGCGATAATTTGCAGTTAATTCCTCTATTGCTATTGTATTTCTTAAAACTTCTATGGTTATTCAAACATAATTAATTGAATATTGATATTTAATATTGGCAGTTAAAAATTTATGAATTATTTTACATTTTATTTCATCATTTATAATTGTTGACAATAGATTTTTTTGCTCGATCTTACATTTGAGTAATTAAATCATTATTTTCTTCTTGTGCTTCCATTATTATCCTTAAATTTAATAAAGCTATATAATCAATTTGGATCCATGTGTTACCATACAGGCTGCTAGTAAGAGGGATACAAGTACCATCTTCGACTTCTCCCTTAATTAATCTTTAGTAGGTTTGAACTTCATAATGTGACCATAGCTTCCTATGCTAATTGATAAAGCTTAAAGCATGCTTAATCCCCTTTCTCTTTTGCACAAGTTTAGGGATGAAGTTTCACTTTAAGGAAATGTATTTTTATGTTTTTCTTATAGGTATAACAGGTAGGAAAACAAAAAAGAAGTGGAGAAGAATTGAAGCGAAGCAGAGGTGAAAAGGAGCTAAAAGCAAAATTAGAGAACTGGCGCCTAGGTGTTAGCCTTTGGAGGCCAAGGCGACGCTTCTTCAAGAGCCTTGGCGCCATTCCTGTGGTGCTTAAGCGCCAAAACCCAGTCGACGAGACAGAGAGCTTGGCGCCTAGGCGCCAGAACTGCTTGTGGAGGTTCTTGTAGTTCTCTCCACACAATCTAAAGAGTTATTTGGTGCATATAGGTGGTTCCATGGAGCATTGTTGCTGACTTTGGAAGGGATAAAATCTTTAAAAGGTTTTGGAGAAGTTCTTGTGAAGCCTAAGTTAGGAATTTTGTTGTAGCAGGTCACACACACACACACACACACATTATACACTAGATATAATTGTCTTTTAATGATAACTTTTAAATGTTTTTTTTCTGTTCATGAAAAAAAAATTGTTTATGAAAAGAATTTTTTTGGGGAGCTCCATTTCAAAATAAAGTTCTATTGTTGTTTTGAAAATTTGAAGTGACATCTTTTCCATATGATTTGAGGGTGGCAAATTGGTAGACAATTGTGTTGTTAGTCGTAAAAACCTTCTGACTATGATTAGTTCCCTACAAGAATGACTAGCACATATGAGGAGCAATATTTCCAAATACCACCCTTTTTAATATATATATATATATACATATA